GGAGATCATGTTTCTATCCCCTTCTGTAAGGGACCTTGTATGAATCTCTTAGGTTCCTCCTTGTATCCAAGCTTCTCTGTGAATTATAGGTTTGTGATCCTTTGCTCTATGTCTAAAATCCATATATGAGTGAGTACATACCATGTTCCTTTATTTGTGACTGGGTTGCCTCCCTCAGGAGGGTTTCTTCAAGTTCTATCCATTTTCCTGTGAATTTCAACATTCCATTGATTTTTTTTCTCACAAAGTAGTATTCCATTGTGTAAATGTACCACATCATCTTCATCCAGTGGAGGGGCATGTAGGTTGCTTCCAGGCTCTTGCTATAACAAATAATATGGCTATGAACGTAGTTGAATAGATGTCTGAGTTGCATGGATGTGGATCATTTGAGTATATGCCTAAAAGCAGAATTGCCAGGTCTTATGATAGACTGATTCTCATTTTCCTGAGGAACCACCATACTGATCTACAAAATGGCTGTACAGGTTTGTACTCCTAGAAATAGTGGGGGAATGTTCCCCTTTCTCCACATCCTCTCCAGCATAAGCTGTCATTGGTGTTTCTATTTTTGCCAATCTGACAGGAGTAGGTTGGTATCTCAAAGTTGTTTTGATTTCCATTTTGCTGATGGCTAAGGATGTTGAGCACTTTCTTAAGTGTCTTTCAGACATTTTGGATTCCGTTATGAGCATGTTTTTTCACCAGCCTGGTCCCATAGCCATGCCAGCCCTAAATAACACATAGGGGCACTGTATTGATATAATGTTATTGGCCAGTTACTAGTTTCTTATAGGATAGCTCTGTCTTAAATATTAACCAATTTCTATTGCGGTTAAATAAGGATCAGGATAAACAAATAGGCCAAATAGATGTTTATTCAGGGAGAAATAACTTACAACCTAGACAGATGAACACCAGCAAGTTCCACCAGATGCTCTCCTCTCTGTGTCCCACCAGCAAGAGAGCGTTCCCTTGCTCCTCCTTAGACCTCCTTCCACAGATCACTTCAGCCCCTGCCACAGGAGAGAAAGTGAATATCCCACTACAATTCCCCATTTGTTTCCCGCGGTTAGCCGCTGTGGTCCCAGCAATTCCACAAGACTCCTTTTATTCATTTGTCTAACAAAATTACGCTTGCCATAGTTTGTTAAGAGCTATTCTACATGGACCAGGGTCAGAGGGATTGTCTGCTGCCGGAAGCTATTTGGCAGTACATCTCCAGGTGTAACTATCACAACTATTATTCTCTCTTCCTAATTAGATATATTAGGTAGCAGACTTAAGTTTTCCAGCTTAGGACAACTCTATTGTAAACTCTGTTATGTCTTCACCCTAGGACTAGATATGTAGGTCATTTTGTTCTTGATTTTCCTTTTCTTAGAGCACACTTGTTATTCACTGTTCTGTATATAGTTTTGTATCAAGCCTAAATCTTTTCTTTAGACTAAAAGGGGAATTGTAGTGGGATATTCACTTTGTCTCCTTCTGTGGCACTGACCATGCCCATTGGGGGGTGGAGCCAGGGGCGGAAGTGACCTGTGGAAGGAGGTCTGAGGAGAAGCCAGGGCACGCTCTCTGACTGGCAGGACGCGGAGAGGAGAGCATCCAGTGGAACTTGCTGGTGTTCATCTGTCTAGGTTGTAAGTTATTTCTCCCTGAATAAACATCTATTTGGCCTATTTGTTTATCCTGATCCTTATTTAACTGCAATACATTTCTATTAATCTAAGTATTTGTAAGTGGTCTAATCTTACTGGAGAGTGAGCCTAGTGTTCTGCTACCTTGTTCCTACATGTTGAATCTCCATCCTACCTCTTCCCGAAAACTTCTTGTCTCCTAGTCCCTCCTATCATGCTTTCCTTGGCCAACAGTTCATTATTCATTAACCAATAAAAGAAACATGAGAGACATCTCCCATTATCTACTCTTTTGTGTCTAAAATAAAAAGGTTTTAACCTAAATATAGCAAAATATATAATAAAACAATTATCAAATAAGAACCATAGTTAACAATATTTAGTCCATTTTCATTTAGTAAGTTGTAAAGAAAATATTCTATCATTTATCCTATCTTTTTGATTCTAAAGTGCTATATGTAACTTATCTTTAATCCTAACTAAGGAAAATAACCATAACTATTTGTCTTCAACTGTTTCAAAGACCACAGAAAGCTAAACTCTAGAATATACAGAGACAACTTGCCTGGTTAGTCACCTGAAATTCTTCTGTAATCTTCCATCTTCAGCCTAAAAGCCATGGTGTGTCTGGCAGACTCCTCAGCAAACGAGGAAACTTTAAACTGTCCACCTGTATTGGCAGCTTGTCAGTCATTTTTTTTTCTTTGTCCTGGAGAATGTCTGGCAGAATCTTCCATGAAGCGGGGACCCTGTATCAATGTCTATGTTGTATTAACAGTCACTTTCCTGTGGGTCCTGCATGTTCAATTTATATAGCATAAAGTCAAACTGTCCAAACAATAACAGTATCTTGCCCAAGTGACTAGTCTTCCCATATTGGGAGTAAACACCATAAAGAGTTTTTTCGATGTCCATCTTCCTTTCTGACATAGGTGATGTTGCCAGGAGCAGTTGTATCTCACTGTTAAGAAAAACCCTAAGCCATTTTAAATGCTATATTCTGTATATCTTTGAAAGGTTTGAAGAATATTTATCCTTCTCATATATATTTATGTATATTTAGAAAACATAACTAACAACTCTAAGTTTTGACTATCATATAAGTAACTATAATCTGTGATAAATTATACATTACATTTCTAAATGATCTATATAAACACAATACCTAAACAAGAGGAGAAATATACATATTACAAAATTGACCTTAAGTTTGTATCAATAAATGAAAGTCAATTCCAAAACAAATTATATATTTCTGTACCATAATCTCCTTCTTACCTTTAAAAAAATTGGTTGTGGTCATTTACCAATTATAACCTGCCCCTTATAAATGAAAACAAACATTTATAAACAATATTTGGGAATTTGGGTGTTGTTCTTTCCAAACTGCTTCCTGCTGGTAGGGGGCATTGTCATAGAGATCCTAAGAAGACACAAAACCCTAGGTGTAGTGGTCTAAAAGGCTGCTTTGTCCCAGCTGTTTTGAATGTTGGATCACCTGAGATGCTGTTTCAGGGTTTCTGGCTGGATCTAACCATGTTAGTCTTGAAGGAATCCACAAGTTTTCATTTTCTGTGGAAACAAAATTGAAATTCTTTTCCCCAGTAACCTGTCCTTAGACTTAAATTTTGGAGTGAAAGCAATTTAAAAATATATAAATTGAATTAATCCAGCAGCATTTCTTTTAGCGATTGTTGCTGATTCCTCAGTAGTCAAACAATACAAACACAACACAATACCATACGGTAACCAAGTTCTCTCTGTGTTTTCCATTTTTTTATTACTCTATTTCTTTTATTTCCATTTTTCATTTATTGAGACAGGGTTTTTCTGTGTAACTTTTGGGTGTCCTGGAATTTACTCTGTATGTCAGGTTCACTTTGAAATCATAGAAATCTGCATGCCTCCATCTCCCGAGTGCTGGAATTAAAGGCATGTGCCAACGATGCCCCAGCTACCCTCATTTTTAAACCATTTTATCCTGTTTTTTTCTCTCTCCCAAGCCTATGCATATTTTAAAACACACTGTAACCCTTTACAGGTTTTTCTTAATCTGAATCTGTCTTTATTGTAAATCTTTATCTTTTTGTGGCCAGAAGTCTTTTATCTAGCTAACAACAGCTTTGCTAAAACGAAAGCCGTAGATGTTATTACCCACAGTCTATCAAAGATGGTGGGGTATCAGTTACTGCCAGAAATGAGAGCTGTGCTCACTGCCTTGGTCTATGTTACCATCTAGCAGCATGGTGCTGGCTTGGAGATGTGGTCACTGACAGCTCCCATACACATCATTAAGTTGTTAGCAGAGCTCTTTAAAAGCATTTTTTTTTTTTTTTTTTTTTTACTATGCTGAATCAGGAAACTTCCCTTAAAGGAGCCATGCAAATCTCTGCTTGTCTCTAGCAAAACAGAGCCCAACTGAGAAAAATGCTGGTACCAACAAGCCTTGCTTGTCTCTTTTATTTTGTTTCTAAAAACACTTTTTAAGCTTTTGTCAAGTTTTAAGTGAAAGTTCTCATGCCCCATATTGGGCCCCATTTTGTTACGAGCATGTTTATCCACCAGCCCGGTCCCACAGCCTCGCCATCCCCAAATAACTCACAGAGACACTGTATTGATATAATGCTGTTGACCTGTTATTAGCATTTCTTACTGGCTAGTTCTGTTTTAAATATTAACACATTTATATGAATCTAAGCATTTCCACGTGGTCTCATCTTACCAGAATTCTGCTCCCTCTGTCCTATATGTTGAATCTCCATCTCACCCCTTCCCGAATCCATCTTGTCTCCTAATCCCACCTATCTTGCTTTCCTGTTGGCCAACAGTGCTTTATTTATTTAGCAATAAGAGAAGCATATTTACAGGATGACATCTCCCACCAGGATTCCTCTATTGAGAATTCTCTATTCAATTCTGTACTGTTTGAAATTTCATACATGATTTTGGTGTATCTTTATTATAACCCCTCCTTACTCCCCCTCTTCCCAAATCCTCTTGAGACTGTGGCATCACATAGCAATTATATTGTCTTGGCTGTGCTTCCAATGTGAACATTATTTCTAAGGACAGACTCGATTTGAAGAAGCATTATAAAATTTGCATTTCTTGCAATGATTAGGTAATTGAGAGTTTCATATTTTGGTTTTAATAACTTGACTTCCATTATTTTCCTGTGAAGCAAATTGTGGATTTTTTTTTTGTTGCAAACTTAGTATCTGTTATTTGTGATGAATGTGATTCTAACTTTAATGACAGATATTTTATTCAATGAGCAAAAGAAAATAGACTTTTTAGATTTGAACATCTCTAAAGAGAATTTATTTTTTTTTAATTTTTTTAATTGCCCAGGATACACACACACACACACACACACACACACACATGCATTCACAAGCTATGACATTAAAGAAATTTCTCAGCAATGAACTTCATGGACCATCTCCAAAGCAGATGGGGTCGATGAGCACTTAGCAATCTTTCCCAGTTATTCGACACTTCAGTGTTCTGAGATGATTTTCAGTGTAGAATATATTAAGGTGTAGGCAGTAGGAAAGGTTAAACATTGCCAAAAACTTATTGTTTTTGCTATTCGATTTTAGGTGGGGAAGATGATCCCAGCTGGGGAACTTTTCCTTTATCTTTGCTGTAGGATAGGCCTAAAAATCAAAATGATAGTTAGTTACTTATTGATTATATTAATAACATTTGTTTCTCCTTGTTTCTTATGTGCTCAATCACAGAAATACATTTATAAATGCTGATTCTATCAAAGGTATAGATTTTCATTTATATAGGCCAGGAGACCCTCAAGCAGTTAGTCTTTTCAAAGCTATGATCAAGACTCAAGTGCATTTGTCTTAATATGTAATTGATTGGAAATGAAGTATCCACTTCAGAAGGAGACAGAGGAAAGGTGGGAAGTTTGTATTTGACTTTGGGACAGTGGAGGGGATAGTTTCAGTTTCTCAATCAGGGAAATTTTACTTGTTCTCTGTATTTCATAGAAGCTGATATATACATCTCTATTTTTTTTTACTCATTTCAACTAAATCTATTCTTTACACAGTTTGTATATGAACACCTCACATGTAATGAGGATCAGATAGTGATTTAAGATGCAGAGCCAAGGGATGACTGTCAGAAGAGCTGAGCTCTTTTAACTTCACCCAGAAAAGAGGTTCTCTAAGTGCACAGGAGGAACAGTTGTGTTTTCTTCGGCTCCCTGTGGTGAGAGGTGGGGAGTAGCAAGCATCTCAGGGAAGGTTTGACCTGCCAATGACCTCTTAGGACACTGATTCTCAATCTTAATGCTGCGACCCTTTAAAGTAGTTTATGTTGCGGTGATACCCAAATATGAAATTATTTTTATTGTTACTTCAAACTGTAATTTTGCTACTAATATGAATCAAATTGTAACTATCTGTGTTTTCCAATGGTCTTACATGACCCCTGTGAAAATGTTATTGGATCCCCTAAGGGTTTGTGACCAACATGTTGAGAATCATTGTCTTAGGAGAAGATAGTCCATAAGATGAGATATCTACATTTCACTCTGGCAAGGTGGGGTATTTCAGAATACTTTAAGAAAACTGAACAATTCACCTCTCTTATGAATGACAATAACTAATAGGAAATCGCTTACCTTATTGAGTATCCACCTAAGGTCATCCAGTAGTTCTTTGTTGTCCTCTTCAATTTGTTTGGCTTTTGAAAGGATAGCTACAGGGGCATCTGGCATGGCACTCAATTCAAGTGTGAGATGGAATAGAGGGCTCGTCCAGGCACCCACATAATTGATCAACATTTTTAAATATTTTTTGTCCTAAAAACACAACAGAGCCAATGAATTAAAATAATTTCAATAGAGCAGGTTAGTCGCGTATAATGTATATGCAAAGAAGCTTAATTCAAACATGTTTTTGGTATGTACCATATATATTGTATAGATGTTACAAAGTGTGGCCACGTATATTTTAAACAATTAATCTATTGTCTATAAAATAAAGCAAATTGTGATGCTTATAAATTAGTGTTTTTCTGAGGTTATGCCATCATGTTTGTTTTCCCTATGAAATTCTAACAGCTCTCTTCCCATTGAGATCTTCATTATTTGGTTATTTTGCTTATCAATTGGTAACTTAGGTCTTGCTGTGACTCAATTGAAGTCAATAAGAATTCACTCAGGAAAGATAGATGCAAGGACTAGTGGCTCAAATAATTTCCACTCAGGGATTAATTCACATCAATAGATCATGGTATTCATTAACACACTCATTTATGATTTCTAGGTGAATTTAGGACATTAGAACAAGAACACAATGAAGAGAGCATTGTCCTCATTAATGGGCTTTTCCCTTGCCTATGGAAGAGCAGGATATTTGTTGGTATTTATAGATGAAAAACTATGCATGTATGAAGAACATTGGCTTTAATAACAGAATCAATGGGAGTCATAACAGAATTTTAACCTTCCATTATTTAATGTCCATATCTGATTGAAACTATTCTCTCTATTGATGTTAGCATCCCCAGTGGTCATGAAAATGAAACTACATCCTATTAGTTACAATAAAAAGATGTAAAAGGCATTAAGGGAAGGAGCAGGCAAATGGTGACAGCGATACATGGGAGCATGATGTCATGTGATTAAGACTGAAATCTGTACTTGAATGAAGTACACATTAGAATTCTTAATTTCCATACAAGTGTAAAGGCAGCTTTTCAAGACCTCAATTTTCTATTGTATTCAAATAATACCTTCTGTTCTGTCTTTTCTAGTTTCAAGACAGCAATGCTAAGACAGTGCTTTGATATGTTTAGTGATACTATAGCTCTCAAGAAACATTTCCTTTATATTTATGTTCTAGTTTTTCCTTATTGTTGTTATATAATATTCATTTTAAATCTTATTCAGATATTATATTACAGGGAGACAAGGAGCTGTAATTTGTAGACCTTCCCATCATGAATTGAGTTATTATTGACCCCAAGGAACATAATATTTGTATCTTACAGGACTGTTCTACTCATCTGGCTTTCAATTAAGATGTAGACAATTATAGAGAGATGAAGAGAGATCTCCATTGTTTTCTGCATGTATGATTACCACTTTTATCATACTACAATAGCTGATAGCACCACAAACACAGTGTATTGCTTCTGGTGTTTAGTGAAAAACCCAAAATAGAAACTCACTTTGATATTTTGTTGTTCAATTCCATGACTTGGAGGGTTTGTGCCATTAGCGTGGCAGTACATTCTTGCCCTGAGAACAGTTATATTCCTTCTATTCATTTGTGTAATCTGCAAATAAAATAAAATGGTCAGTTAGAGTTCAGAAAGTATATAAATGAGTTCATGACCAGAATTTTAATGCATTTTGATGGATTTGCAATTTTTAACAATAAGTACTCATAAAAAACAGAAATGAAAGAATTAAGAAAGTGCCCATCAACTAATTCTGTGTCTGTTGGATCTGCAAATTAATTTGACATTTCACTAATTTGAACCATTTAATTCCTCTTTTATTCTTCTGTCTTTCCACTCTTCCAAAAACTTACTATTTGGAAAGCAAACACAGAAAAAAAGCAAATTTATCAAGAACTAAGTGTTTTTAAATAATCATTTTTAGTATTTCAGCATGAAACCCTCACATACATTTGTTAATATTCCTATATTCTATGAAAAATATTGAAATTTCCTTACCAAGACATAAGAATTTTAAATTTATTCAGTTAACACTGAATACATATGGCTATGTAAAAAAAGTTTATAATAGTTTTAGAATAAAATTGTGCTCATTGTGATAAAATTACTCATAAAAATAGAGCATTTTATAGAAAAGTCTAAGCAAGAAAGAATCAAAATATACAAAATTATTAATTAATGTTCATGTGTTATATTATTCATTGTATATTTTGTGAAATATTAAACTTTTATAAATGATTTAGGTTATCTGACTTATTTCTAACAATTGCCTAATTCAAGAAAGGTTAATGGACTATTGTCAAGGTTGGAATGTAGTAAAACTGTCACTGAAGGACAGGAAATAAAAATTCAGCTTTCTCATCTAAGTTGAGATTGATGACATGAGACTCCTAAAAGGAAGCAGCTGGAAAGAAGTAGGGTACTCACCAGAGCCGAAAATGCTCTAGAAGAGAATTCATTGTGGAACTGAGTCATGTTAAGGGGGAAAAAATAACATTCAGTCAATAAGAACCAACATGAATACATGTTTATTTCAAGCATAGACACATTCTTTCAGTATCCATCATACTGACAGTTTGCCTATTTTCTCTTCTTTTGTGTTTTCTGACCTCAAGAAATGAGTTATAGCAATCAGCAAGATGGAAACAGACCTACTTCTTAACTTTGTTGTTGTTGTTGTTTGGGTTTTCTGTTTTGTTTTCTGAGACAAGGTTTCTCTGTGTTGCTTTGGAGCCTGTCTTGGAACTAGCTCTGTAGACCAGGCTGGACTCAAACTCACAGAGATCCACCTGCCTCTGCCTTTTGGGTCCTGGGATTAAAGGCATGTACAATCACTGCCCTGTGAAACAGACCTACTCTTCCAATCATACCCTGATATTGAACAAACACTACCACTAAAAATCTTTAAACCCAAATCCTAGTATTTGGGGACTTGTTGAAAGATTTGGTCTCTCTGTCTTTGTCTCTTTCTCTCTCCTTCTTTCCATCCCTACTTCCCTCCTATTTTTTCTTTTTTTTCTTTCCTTCTCTCCCTGTTTTTCATTTCTTCTTTCTTTATTGTCTTTTCACAAGCATTAGGTTATCTCTGTTCTAAATATATAGTTTACAGAAACACACATCTTATACAGTACTAAATAAAGATAGGCAATAGAAATCTATGATCCTGAATGCGCCATCAGGAAAGGTGTTCTTACCCCAGCCACATTTTAAGGGTTTCTACCATAGCTTTTTTTTTAAAGATAAATAAAATTGGAGAAACTACACAAAAATCATTAGATTCTTTAAAGTTTTATGTCACAGTTCCATTGACCCTGTCAGTGTTCAGTAGTTGGTGTTTCCTCTACCAATGAATATGTATTTTCTAATATTTGGGTCATGACACTTAAAGTCTAAGTTTCTAGTGCATTTAAAACATCAGTTTGAAGGTTAAATACTTACAAACTCTTGCTGCATTTGTTCAGCAAGATTATGGATACTTTCTGCTCGCTTAATGGCACTGTTAAAGGTTTCCACAAGGGGGTCCCAACAGCCCCCATCTTCTGTATGACATTCAGGAATTGCTGCAGCTTTCTCCCACAGGAATAGCTTCAACACCAGCAGCAACAGTGTCCATGCTACAAAGAAATAAGACCCTCTTAGGAATGATGCAGTAATACAAGTTTTTCAAGGCTTAACCACTTCAGGGAAGTTTTATCAGTCCAAAGATTTCTTTACTCCTTAACTTGATATTGAATATCTGGAATGACAGATAAAACCATTGTGAGTACTTTGGCAATTAAGTATTTTCCTGTATGATTAGTTTCAGGAACAGGTGCCTTCCCATATTTTTACGTATTCTTTTCAGAAGTGATTCTAGATTTTACAAATGTCTAGAACTAAAATTAACTTTCAACTAGTATTTTTAAGTCATTCTTTTTAGATAGTTTGGTGTCTTTGGAGTTTAAGCCCATTTTCAGTTACCAAACTCTTGAAGAATTTGTAATTTTTAAACATCATGTCTGTTGTCAGCATTTTGGACACTGAAATGACAAAGATAGCACAATTTATATGCTTGCTTTCTCTACATGTTAGACAATAAATACATAATTACTAATATTGAAGATTGATGTAGGCTAATGCTCTTGTACACTGTAAAAATTTTGGTTTAATACAACACTGATTGGCCAGTAGCCAGGCAGGAAATATAGGCAGAGTTATATATAGGCAGTCTAGGAGAATTCTGGGAAGAGGAAGGCAGAGAGAGAGAGTCACTAGCCAGACACAGAGGAAGCAAGATAAGAATGCCTTAATGAGAAAAAGTAGCAAGCCACGTGGCTAAATATAGATAAGAATTATGGGTTAATTTAAGTTGTAAGAGCTAGATAGTAATAAGTCTGAGCAATAGGTCAGTTTATAATTAATATAAGCCTCTGTGTATTTATTTGGGATCAAATGTCTAGGGAAAGGAGATGGGCCAGAAACTTTCATCTACAGAAGATGAAGAGAATCTTGTCCTAAATGATGTCAGTTTGGAATTGTTAATTTATGCAAAAATTCAACAGAGTACAAATTTATCAAAAACTTCAGATTATTTTCTTTAAAGATAATCTACATAAAAATTCTCTGAGTAGATTAGATAATCATAATTGTAATGTAAATGTATTTATAAAAGAGAAGTTTTACATGGCTAAATGATTTTCCTAATGCCTAATCATTGGCTAATGGTGAAAGAAAGACACCAACAATCAGGGCTTTGGCCTTGACCTGATCATAGAAAGATTACCTGTGGGTTCACACTGTGCATCTTTAAAAAGAGAACATAGCAGAAAGAACATAGCCACAGTTCTGAGACTTGGTTTTATTAGAGTTCATTGCTATTCCTTGCAATGAATAAACTTTATCGCTAGGACATTACAAGATAAATTCTACAAGATGATTTGACCTATGGTTTTTACACTCTAAAATCACTCATATTTAAAAGTTTTGACAATGATCAGTACTGACTTCAATCTAAAAATTCCTATTAATTAAGCAGTCCAACACAAGGCTAAAACACAAGGCTGGAGGAACATAGTAGAAAAGGAGAAGAATCAATATCAAAGCTAGAGGTTCAGAATGTTTGCTGAGAAAAATTGTCATTCGCTTATGCAGTATCAAGTAGTCTGCCCTAAATTCATAGACATTTGAGCAACACTGAATAGATTCGGCAGTTGTTTGTATGCTTATATGTAAGTATAAATGTAAATATAATGATTAAAGAAAAGCAGACCTGAACTTTAGAGGGACCACGAGAAAGGGCTTTGGGGGTTTGGAGGAGTGGAAAAATACAATATTCATCATGTATGTAATTCTAAAAAAAATAAAGTCTAAAAATGTAACAATGTCTTCCTATTTCATTTCGAAAATAGTATTTTTGTTATTCTCTCCCACTTTCTACTATATATCACCTACAAAATATGGCACTTTGTCAGCACTCCTTGCTCTTCTTTTTGTGATATAATTTGGCTTGCACTAACCTGGAAAATGGTACAAGACAGAAGCTGCCATTTGTCTACTTCAGGCTTCAGAACTTAAAGATTCTTCAGATTTATTCTAATATGAAAACTCATATACAATACCCAGGATCAAAACTTTGTTTCTTGTACCTTGAGATTAAGATCAATTGGGCCTACTTGTTTTATATGCTTAGTGATTTCCAATTTCTCAGACTCTGAAACATTGTCTTTTTGAGTTGTATTATTTGTTCTATAAGATGCCCCAAGCATCGGAAATTGTTTAAAGATCCCCATCATTTCTACTTACTGGATACCAGTAATAGTGCCCTTCTTCTCTCCCTTCAATAGAGACAACACAGACTAGCCCTGAATATTTGCAACATGTCTCCAGGTAAAGATCTTGAGAACTACTGATCTCTTATTCCCTTGTACAATTGCTTTCAAGAAAAAAATAATTTTAAAATATTTTAGAAAGTCTATGCAGAGTTCTCCTGGAAAACTATCAACAGATATCTCTTCACACCAGATAAAACACCAAAGATTCCAAAGAAAGAACGACAATAAAGCAAACTCAGTGAACCACTGAATTTAATACTTTTACTTAGAGACACATAGGGAGAGTTTACTTACAGATGTGAAGTTGACTCAAAGGCAACTCCATTCTTGAGAATTTTCCAAAGAGGATGAGTGCTGTCTCTAGAGACCTGGCTCAGTGGAGTCATGAATTTGCCTAGTCCTTCTCCTATATATTCTGGTAGATTGCCCCAAGGGCATGCACAGCCACTGAACAGAAAGAAGTCACATGCAGAATCCCTCATTAGTGAACTATGTCTGTCTATCTTCAGGGAATGTGAGCAATTTTATTGCCTCATACTTATCCGTGTCTGCATTTCTTTTTACTTCTTTTCTACATGTTGATTCTTGCCCAAATTATTTTTGATATCTCTGAAACCATCTTGGCTGCCTGATGACAGATAGTCATGTCAAACCAGGAGGAAATTGTTGTTTATAATTACTCCCCTCTCCTTGGACTGTTACATTCTTTCTATCTTCTCTTTCATGTTTTTGGACAGCAGTGATTCCTTATTGAATATTTGACCATCATGCCACAGCATTAGTAAATTATCAGTAATGTTATCATGAATCTCTGCCAGTAATCACTGACTATTGTGAAGAGTGTTTCTCTATAAACTAAGAGGATGTTTGTAGTAATCTAGTAATGCACATGCCTAAATTAGATGTTTAGAAGTCAGTTTGAAAGTCATCAGATATATTTCATGGAAAAATTCCTTTAACTCCTCTTGAGAGTCTATGACTTCTCACATCAATGATTGTGCATTGGCTTAAAGTTCAAAATATGGTTTATTTCCTTGGAATTGACTTTAATCATATTAAAAGTTTGTTCGTTGCACCAAAAACATGTGTGCCACTACTGCCCTAGTGAATGCAGTTTTATACACTTCCTGCTAGCATTAATACTTGAGCCATAGTGTCACTGATGACAATTCTCTGAAAAACAACTCCATAGCAGCCTCCAGACTCTGCCAGTTGACCCACAGGTATCATCTATCTCAAATACTGACAAAAGTTCCTCATATTATTCAAACAGAATATTTGCTGCCTAAATAATTTAGGCCAACCAGTTAGTTCTGATGTGTAACCAAAAGGATTTACAACTTCAAGAATGGTGTGACAGACCTCAGAAACCTGACTGTCCACTACCTCTTGGAAAAGTAACTCACCCTGAGCTCAGGGATTTAGTCCAATAACCATAAGGTTTTTCAGGAATCCCTTTCCCTTCATATATGTACACTCTCATCAATTTTTTACAGCTATTTTTAGTATCTTTTCAGATTCCCACCCAAATGAGTACAGTGTGTAGACTTTGGATTTATATAATGGTAGCTTCACAGTGGTTCAACATTTCTAGAGACCTACTGTTACCTGTTCCAAGAAACAATAAATTCACTTCCTGTAGCTATTCAGACACTAATAATATCTTAGCCTTACTGTTATATGGTATGAAGCCTCAAGTACATATCAGTTGTTTCTTCCAAAGCACAGGATTAAGTTGCATAGGCTAGCTGGGATGGCATCATTACTTCTTTTCCAAGCCTACAATTTCCACACAGCTCCATGAATTGCTTATGGTGTCCAACCTGGGACTCTGATATATGTATGATTGCATCTGGCTAAGGGCAAAAATAGAGCAGAGTAAATTCAAACCTGCCAAATCTACTGCCTCTCTAGATGACTTCCACCTTCAGAGAATTTCTTGCTTGGCCCTATGCCCTGGAGTTGTCTCTTTGTCAACAGTCTTTTAGGGAAGGGCATTGGTCTAGATGAGTAATCTCCCTATAAACTCCCCTTTATCAACCACACAAGTTCAACACAAATATACAGTCTCTAGAAAACATTCAAATTCTGATCTGTAGTTTGTGTTCGTGCTACACATTCACATCCAGCATTCTTATCTACATGAAAGAATTGTACACAGAGTACTCTCTTTCTCTCTGTGGTAGAGCTAACTGCCTACACACAAGGAAAGCTATGTCATTTTTATGTTCACCAATCTATCTCCTTATTTGCCAGTGTTGGCTTTAGTCCAAGATGATTTTAGACAGTCATAAATTCTAGTGTATTTGGAAAATTGATAAGAACCAATGTCTTTTCTTTAAGATTTCTTAAAGATGTCCACATGTCTTCTGTAATGTCCTTATTCAAAGGCAATATTGGTCAATATCAGATTTTATTTGATGTGTTGTCCCTCTAAGACAACTGTTTCCTGCAGAAGGGAGTTCAGTGGAAAGCCCTGTCTCATTTTGTACCCTCTGGAGCACTGTTATTTGGTTTATAGTCTTTCATTTGCTCATAACCACCACATCTTTCATGTGCTCAGCATTTTCACTGGATGTCCTAGATTGGTCATGCTGTAAATCTCGTCACATTTGAGTTCACTTGAGACTTGATCTCAGCTTTTTCCCTTTCTTGTACAACTGCAATAGTACTTTATAAATAATATTTAAATTATTTCCCATCATTCATATCCTAAGCCTTCTACTGAAAGTGAAATCTTATGCTCAGTCTTAGTTGGAGAAGAGATATATTCAAACACTTAGATCACAGTTTTGGAGACAAGA